TGACAGTCAGTCAGTTTCTTGTCGTCTCTGTGGTGTATAACATAATAGAAGCAGTGCATAACATAGGAGAAGCAGAAGTCTTGTATCCACCCTCTGTAGCCACTCTAGGGCTTCCATGTCTCCCTAGGCTCTATGGTATGCGATAGTCTTCCCTCTGAAGCTGCCATTTACTCTGGCAGAACTGATCTCTGCCGTCTGTAGATCAGTTGTAATTCTGGGAGACCTCCAGGCCCCACCTTGAGGTTGGGGGCTCTAATATCATCTCACCCAACTGGTGGTTTTACAAATGCAGAGCATTTCACTTGCAGGTCCCTAGCATGTGTATCCTCACTATTTATAATCTTGTTTAATTTGTTTAACTCTCTTATCCTGCCTTTCCATCCCTATATTTGGGGGGGTGGGCAGGTCAAGAGGTTGATTGAATACTCTGGCTTGAATGCAAATGAAGACGTTTAGTAGTGGCCTGATTCATGTTCCTGCCTTCATTTGCCTTGCGGTTGTTGCTTTTCCTGGCTCCTTTTCAAGCCTTGCCAAGCAATAAAATTACAAGGCCAGATTGTTTGCACGTGAGGGAAAATGACTTTTCTCCTTGGGGCGTGTGTTAAGAAAACAAGAATTTATGTTGACAGTTGCTTACAGTCAACACACGGGAGAAGAGCGCGATCTTCACAATTCTTTTTTCACTTCTAGGGCTTTCCGTGGAAACAGACATTTATTTATTTCCTGAATTTATAATCCGGCTTTCTCTCAAATGCTTACCCAAAGTGGTTGATGTTGTTCTCTTGTCCTCCATTTTATCCTCACTGTCTCTCTCTCTCTCTCTGTGTGTGTGTGTGTCTGGTCCAAGGTTACCCAGTAAGCTTCCATGGCAGAGTGGGGGGGTGTTTGCACCTTGATCTCCCAGATCCTAGTCTTCTTGACACTCCTAGCCACCCCTACCCCAAACTGGCTCACACTAACATCCTACTAACATCCCTTCCTGACCAGGATAGCCCAGGCTAGCCTGATCTTGTCAGATCTCAGAAGCTGAGCCGGGTCAGCCCTGGCTAGTATTTGGATGGGCGACCTCCGAGGAATACCAGGGGCGTGATGCAAAGGCAGGCAATGGCAAACCACCTCTGATAGATATGTCTCTTGGCTTAAAAACCAGTCTAGCTCACCACCTAGTGGTGCATAATACTAAAGAGCTAGAACTGCTGGCTGCCAGACAATCCTAGGGTCTCCTGGCTATATTACATACCCAGACATAGAATAATTAATTAATTACCTAACATCCCTTGATTTTTCTTAGACTTTCAGGAGTGATGGAGGGAAAGTACATAGGAATATTATTTGCTCTGGTGTAGGTTTTGGGAAAACTAAGTATTTTCTGTTACCTTCCAGTTTGCCATCTAGGCAGGGCTATTTTTGGGCAGGAACGCACAGGAACGGAGTTCCGTCTGGCTCCTGAGTTGGCCACACCCAGCAGGAACTCATTAGCATAATAGGCCACACCCAACAGCAGAAACTCATTAGAATTGGCTACATTAGGGGTGTGTCCTAAAATGCAAAGGAGTTCCTGCTACAAAAAACCCCTCTGGGTTTTGACAACAAAGTAAACAGAATAAGAAGCAAAAGGTGGGTGTGGCTGGATGACCACACTTCTGGTAACATGGGGGTGCGGCCTAATATGCTAATGTGCTGTGTTGTCAAGGGTGTGGCCTGATGAGGGTGTTGTCAAGGGTGTGGCCTGATGTGCTAATGTCTGCTGTTGGGTGTGGCCTATTATGCTAATGAGTTCCTGCTGGGCTTTTTCTACAAAAAAAGCCCTGCATCTAGGTAATATAAAACTGCACATTGCTGCTGCTGTCAATCAGTCTGAATTCATGCTAGGCAGTGTGGTGGTCGAAAGTGTTGTCAAGCCATAGCTGACTTATGGCGACCCTTCATGGGGTTTTCAAGGCAAGAGATGTTCAGAGGTGGTTTGCCATTGCCTGCCTCCACATCACGCCCCTGGTATTCCTTGGAGGTCTCCCATCCAAATACTAGCCAGGGCCGACCCTGCCTAGCTTCTGAGATCTGACAAGATGGGGTTGGCCTGGGCTACCCAGGTCAGGGTGTTTGGCAGTATACAGTAGTATAATAGACGAGTCTCCACTGTGGGCTTATAGTCTACAAGAGACATGAAACGTGATGTAGGGAAGGAGGGAGAAACTAGGGGGAAATACAGTCATAAAGTAGGCCCCTGGGAGGCACTTGCCATTTCACCTGGAAGCAGAATTCTGTTGAAATTTTAAAAAACTTGAGTACGAGGAGGAGTTTCTCACTTTGTTTGCATTCCAGTCTCCATGACATAGTAAAGTTTAACTCTTAGGTTACTAAAACCCATCTAAATCTTTTATCTGGCCCTGTTTGTTGTCTTTTAATGTCCTCAGGCACATCTGCAGAAGAACTGACAGATTGGTCCTAAGTGGGCACTCTTATTTCACTCCTTTACGAGAATGGAAATTCCCTGCTTTTATCCATTTGACTTCCGGACACCCACTAATGCAGCTGAGACTCTTTTGCCTCCATCTTGTCAGCTGAAACGTTTGGACTCTGAATTTCTCTGTTAATGGACATATTTGATGCCTTTAATACTGTAATGCGCAGATTCCTTCCTAGAATTATATTGAGACCTCTTGAGTTCTCCCCAGGCATCAAGTTGGCTCATAAGCAGTGTTCCCTCTAAGCTGAGTTAGTGTGAGCTAGCTCACAGTTTTTTAGCCTCCGGCTCACACATTTTTGTCATAGCTCAGGAAGGATGGCTCCAGAGCAAACTAATTTATGCAGCAGCCAAATCTCCTGCTCACAACTTTAATGCCAATAGCTCACAAAGTAGAATTTTTGCTCACAGGGCTCCATAGTTTAGAGGGAACATTGCGTCATAAGGATCGGTGGATTTCTGCGGAACTCAGTAATGTCTGCTGTATTACATGGGATTTTGAGCTGTGAATCCCATTGCACAGCTAAAATGGGGTGCAAGTATCTTTCCACACACGGGTTCTAATGAACGACCATGTTTCAGTCGTCTAAAAATCTATTTTCCTTCAGCTGCCTCTCTCAGCCTTTTATTCCTAAACATTACTTTGAGTTAGCAAAGCTGTTTCCCCATTGCAATGTTTCTGCATATAGCTCTTATTGATCTTGCTAATATGGAAGCCCTCGCAACGGCAGACGCTTTCCCTTGCCCTCAGTTGCCGCCAGAGAGAGTTTGTTAAGGTTTTTAAAAATATCAGAAATTGACAGATTACTATAGTGCAATGATGTAACAATCTCTTGCTATGATATACTGGTTCACAGCTGTCTTAAAAAAAATAAAGTCACTAGCTCTTTGTTGCTGAGCTTTAAGGGGAAATGCGCTTCACCTTAAAACTCCACAATAAAATGGGTTAGAGACTTTTATAGCTAGTACATGATAGTCAGTTGACTAAGTCGTTACAGTGTTATTGCCTTATAGCAAAAAGCAGAACCGTAACAAAGAAGACCGCAAAGTTCAGAACAAGATTAAGAAAAACGTTAACAAGCAGAGCTATCTGTATCTCTGCAGTATCTCCCTTTGTTTCGATTAGACCCCTAGCAAACAGTTCCGTCCTATCTTTAGTTTTGTAAAAACAAAATCGGGTCAGCAGTGGTTTTCTGGTAACTGGCATCCCTGTGTCCACGTCATTTGTGGTAAGCTGGGGGGGAAAAAGAAACGACTGTCCTTTGTGGCACATATGCTTTTTTACTAATGAGGCTGAGGCACATGCAAATAGCTGCTACTGTATGTACTCATGTTCAAGGCAAGGTTTTATTTCCCAATATGGCATTAAAAAAAGAGAGAGCTTCATCTTGCCTCTGCATACAAGTTGTTTATGTCTGGTAATTAAGAAGCTGCAGTGTATCACTGGAAAAGGGATAGTCTTCCTTTTGAGTAAGTAGGGTAATCTGAAAAAGATGCCGGAATGAATCTAGAGTTGCATGGAAAGATGCAGTTGGGGGCTTGGCACTGAAGTAAACATAATGCCATTTGTAAGTTCAGGCCCTATACTTTAGAGGCACGGATGGTTCTCATTTCCAGTTTTTTCATTTCATAGATTTTTCACACACTGACAGAATCACACCTACTTTCACACCTTGTCTCCTAGTGCTCTAAGCCATCTTTGTTTCTCTGTAGTTAAACAGTTAAGGCTGCCACTGTGACAGAAAAGGCCTCTTGGTTTAAAAACTTTACTTCCTGTGGATTCTTGTATATCTGTTGTCTTGTGAAATTGCATTTGTGTGTGAAGTTGGAATACTGTGTGCAATTCTGGTCACCACACCTTAAAAAGGATATTATAGCTTTGGAAAAAGTGCAGAAAAGGGCAACTCGAATGATAAAAGGTTTGGAACACTTTCCCTATGAGGAAAGGTTAAGACGCTTAGGGCTCTTTAGCTTGGAGAAACGACGACTGAGGGGTGACATGATTGAGGTTTATAAGATTATGCATGGGAAAGAGCAGGTAGAGAAAGAGGTACTTTTCTCCCTTTCTCACAATACAAGAACTCGTGGGCACTCCATGAAATTGCTGAGCGGTCGGGTTAGGACGGATAAAAGGAAGTCCTTCTTCACCCAAAGAGTGATTAACACTTGGAATTCACTGCCGCAGGAAGTGGTGGCGGCTACAAGCATGGACGGCTTCAAAAGGGAATTAGATAAGCATATGGAGCAGAGGTCCATCAGTGGCTATTAGCCACAAGGTATAGCTAGGGACTCTGGGGCAAGTGATGCTCTGTCATCTTGGTGCTTGGGGGGGTCAACAGTGGGAGGCTTCTAATGTCCTGGCCCCACTGGTGGACCTCCTGATGGCACCTAGTATTTTTGGCCACTGTGTGATACAGAGTGTTGGACTGGATGGGCCTTTGGCCTGATCCAACATTGGCCTCTCTTATGTTCTTATGTTCTTAAGTTGGTACTCTTTTGGTGACTATGTTTGGGTTTTTTCCTCCTTTCCTTCCAGGGCACTGTCTTTAGTTTGGATTCTGAAGAGGAGGAGTACCACGGGATCATCGCCGAGGACAGCAATGACATCTACATCCTAACTAGCGACCACTCGGGACAGGTGAGCCCTCCCGAGTCGCCCACCGTGACCACGTCTTGGCAGTCCGAGAGCCTACCCGTCTCCCTGTCCGCTAGCCAGAGCTGGCACACCGAGAGCTTGCCCGTGTCTTTGGGGCCCGAGTCTTGGCAACAGGTGGCCATGGAAACTGAAGAAGTGAAGAGTTTGGACAGCAACGGAGGTGGGGAAGAGAGGAGTGAAAACAACTCCTCTAACTCTGATATTGTCCACGTGGAGAAGGAGGAGATACCAGAGGGGGCTGAGGAAACGCCCTCTGAAGCGGCTCTTCAGACTGAAACGGCAAAGCAGGTTTCCACAGATGCGCCAACTGCCTTGCTCGAGGAGGCGGCGGAAGCCGAAATTGTGTCGCTGAAAGCAAGCCTCTCTGCAGAGCTGCCTGCCGAACAGCAGCAGGCGGGAAAGGCGGTAGTGGAGCTAGAACCTGAAACTCCAGCATTGAGTCAGCCTGCTAAGAAACCGTCTCCTGTAGAGGACAAGGCCGCCTCCAGACCTGAGAGAATACTGCCCCCAGAGGAGGAACTGGAGGCCAGGAAGGAGGGCTATTCGGAAGAAAAGGAAGAGAAGTCCCCCGCGGGAGAAGAGAAACCCATCCTCCTGCCAGAAGGCAAATCGATTCTGCTATACGGCGGGGCCGCTGCGGTGGCCATCCTGGCGGTGGCCGTGGGCGTGGCACTGGCTTTGAGGAAGAAGTAACGAACTTCGCACTCAGATCCACATTTAGTTGCATTGACTGACGGTTGCGATGCCGACGTTTAGGGGGGATTTATGTAACTTAAAAGGGTGGTGGGGCAAAAGGTGTACACTGTAAGTTTTAAGCCTAGGGACAATCATGTTCTTTAGTGGACTGGGACTGGAGCTTCCTGATGAAACCTATAGGGGGTGTCATTTTTTTAAGAAAACAAACCCCCCCACACATGTAAGTATCTGTGTACAAATGAGGAAAGTGAAATGTTTATACACTGGAAACTGGAACTAAAAATTCCAGAGGAATGGGAGAGTTGGTGGCTACCTCCTGGAGGTTCTCCTTACATAGCTGCTATTGCAGCGTTTTTGGTTCCCCATCCGCCTCTTGAACGAGAGGTGCCTCCGTCGGTAGCATGAGGCTGGTCTCCCTTTTCTGCCTCAGCTTCCTCAGGCGCACTGCGCTGCTCCTGTTGGCCCCCCAGTTCTCTTTTAAACCCCAATGGGGTAGTGCTTCTTCAATACCTCTTTGCTTTCTAGTTTTTCTGCCTCCCCCCCCCTCCCCAATGCTTCCTAAGGCCCCAACCTTCAAAAACTCTGCTGCTCTCTCTAGTAGAGTTCGCAGCGTTCTCTAATGGTGGGTGGAGGAAGTACGTTTCCCAGAGGTGAATTGGGATGGTGTTGTTGGGGGGAAAGGTAGATGTTCTTAGGAACCGCCCCCCCCCCCCGAACCCATGTGTATTTGTCATTCTGGTGATCACCGTTGATGTGACTCCTCTCCCCTTTAACCCCTACGGCTTTATTGCATTTGTTTTGGTCGGGAAAAGGATCTGATCAAGTTCTTGTAATGGATGCAAAGGGTGATGATGGAAATGTTACTACCCAGTATTCATAAGCAAAGAACCTAATATTAGCCTGAGGGCTAATCTGGCACCATTTGTGGAATAACTTAAGCACGGACTTGCTCCACCTCTTCTGCATTTGCACAAAGTTCAAGGGTGGGTTGCAATTTAGCCTTAAACTGACCTTGGCCACTGCCACATGAGCAAATGCAAGGTCTTCCAAGAAAACGGTCTCCAGTCTGAACCGCATGATGCTGTACCTTCCAGTTAATTCCCTAGCTCCTGAGTGATGACAAGCCAGCAGTCTCGTGCAGCTCGTGTGGACCTCTTGGGTGAGTGTTATGTGGAGAGTTTGGAGAAGTACACAGAAAAGGTGGATGAATGAAAACCAAATATTATTTTTCCTCCAGACTTGTTTAATCTTGGCCTGTGACGTGGTAGATATATCCCCCCTCTTTCACACACCCCTTTCCATTTAGTCTCTCATTAAATGATGCTGAGGAATCCCCTCCCTCCTTCCATTCCTGGTGCCCTTGTTTTTGGATATGATCCTGCACAGCAATCGGGTACCTTGGTGTAGATTTTTCTGTAGGTAGCATTGAAGTGTAGAGTTAAATATTTTTTTCTCTTAAACCTCTGCCATAGCTGCCTTTTCCTGTTAACCTTCTGTAGATCAGATGATCAGGGAGTTCCTGAATTTCTTCATTCAGATATGGTTTCCAGCTTTCTACTCATGTAAATAAAAAAAATAATCTCAAATTATGACACGAATCATCATGTGGCAGTGGCGGTTTTGTTCTCCAGTGCTTATGTAAACTGCTGTTATATTCATGAGGCAGTATTTTGGCAAACATGTTGGATCTCCTGGTCATAGAATTTATAATTTAAACTGCCCTTGTGGGCAAATCGATTGTGCAAATGGGTCTGTATTTCATTTTTAGGCATTTGCTCATAAATTGTCCTGCTTGCACATACAACAGCCTGGAGACTGCTAGCACATGGTTTAGTTTGGCATAGTGGCTAAGTGTGCGGACTCTAATCTGGGAGAACCGGGTTTGATTCCCCACTCTTCCACGTGCAGCTGCTGGTGTGATCTTGGGTCTGTCACAGGTTCTCTCAGAGCTGTTCTCTCAGGAGCAGTCCTTGAAAGAGCTCTGTCAGCCCGACCCACCTCACAGGGTGTCTGTTGTGGGGAGGGGAAGGGAAGGGAAAGGAGTTTGTAAACCGCTCTGAGACTTCGAGTGAAGGGCGGGGAATAAATCCAATCTCTTCTTCTTCTTCCGATAGGTGGGGGTAATCAATTTTGAAGGATGCAGCTCAAAAGGACACAGGTGAAACAGACCCTAAGAACTTTGTTGTAAACTGGCCGTTCTTTTACCAACTCACCTTTCAAAAACCTATCTCATTGCTTTCTCTTAGTTAATACTGTGGGAATTGATGTCCCTCAAAAGCTGTGATGCAGTAGGGCAGGGGTGTCAAACATAAGACCTGGAGGCTGGAACCGGCCCATCCAGGGCTCTTATGTGGCCCGCAAGCAACTGGTTCAAGGGAGGGAACAGGAGGCTGCTTGGGGCGGGGGAGTGGGCGGAGCCACTCTGATTGTGGCTTCAGCATGGCAGGACAACCTTGTCTGCAGCAGTCAAGCAGAACCCCTTCACTTCAGGGGCAGCCTCACTGATAAGTTGGGAGCCATCGCAGCCGCACTCATACCTCTCCACTTGGCCTGCAGCTGCAGGGATGGCCGTGGGGATCAGCATTTGTACGTGGAGGGGTACAGGCAATCCTCTGTTGGGGCCTGCTGGTGGCGTGCTCCCCCATGTGGTGGATGTGCTTTGGCTATGGGGGACATTCTTTGGCAATTTCACACATCGAGGCCTAGTCCTGCCACTGAGCACGCTACTTGGCAGGTGGGCCTCCCTCCCCCAGGGACCACCCAGTGGCTTTCAGCTGTAGGTGGCTGCTGCTTCATGGGAGGGGGGTGGTGGTGCTGGCAAGCTCTAGTTATACTAGTTGCTGGGTGGCCTGGGGCCTCTGCCATGTGTGGCCATGTGCATGTGGTGCCCACTCCCCCATTAGATGACCATTGGCCTTTGGTCGTATGTGGTGCCCACTCCCCCATTAGATGACTTTGGTCATGGTTGACATTATCTTACTCAACACCAGCTCCGGTAGAGGAGCAGAGTTGACCAGAAAGAGCAGTTCTTAACGGCTGAGCAGCTGGAGCAGCATCCTTTTAAAAACCTTTTGGTTAACTAAGCTAGTGCAGCACATCTTCATGCATCCCATTCTGCCAAACTTGGTATGTATGGTCTTGAAGCAATCTCACTCATTACATAACTGAACGTGGGGGTTGCTACCAGTTGACTTTCTTTGATAGGGAGCCATAGGGAAGCCTCTCTTCTCTGATGAATGTCTTATTCATTTGCAGACATGTTTTTGCTTTCCTATATTTTCAGGTGCACACTTCACGTATTAGTTTTAAGGTAGCCCTTGGGTGCAGGGGGGAATCCGCTTGTGTATCTAGTGCTGAAAGACAGGAGCTGTGCTACAGCCAGTTGAGGATTGCTAATTTACAGTGTTTTAGTGCTGGTTTATCCTCAGTTTCTAGAAAAAGTGCCTCAGTGGGTTCCGGTGGGTTTTCCTTTGTGTGCTTACTTTGTTTCATAGCTTTCTTGGCTAGTAATGGTTCTAAAGGCACTTCGGAAGACTAGTCCAGAAAAATGAAGCAAACCATAGCTCCTGTAAGGCTTGTTTTAAACCAAGTTGCTCTAGAAGCTCTTGGCTCCTGGTACCTATGTCATGATTTTTTAAGTCTCACAGCTGCACACATTTTGGCTTGTTAGGTACTTGGGATTGCCATTAGTACTGGACAACTGTGATGGTAAAAAGATAGAGAAGGTCTATAGTTTACCCGGTAGAATTCTGGTATCTCAGCAGAGAATAGAGATGGATGTTGCTTATCTTGCCTAATTTTACAATTCAACCTATTTCTCCAGCTTGCTATTAGTAAAAGATCTTGGCTCCACCCTACCCTGGTCTGCTGTCAGATGGCTTCTGTTAATTTCTCGGTGAGGACTTATTGCTGCTTCTGTGGTTTCAAATATGGTACTTGATGCCCCTTCGCTTTATAAATTTCCGCTTCTGTGTATCACTCTGCTAACCACCATACTTGATAGGAAACATATGGCAGGCTAGGGGAGGCAAAAAGCGAGCTTTCAGGGGGCATATTCCTCTGTTACGTGTGTGTCCCCTTTCCATGTTAGTGAATATGGAGCTAGGGAGTCTTTCCTGCCAATAGGCAAAGCCCTCCTTCATTGGTCAAAACAATAGAGAGTGTTAGGAACATTAAAGGATGCAGGCCTGAATTGCTTTTAAACTTTGGCCACTCGCGTAGCTGACTTTTTTCAGAGGTTTTTTTTTTTCAAGAGCTGCCTAGAGCCAGTATTCTACCGAAGGAGGTAGTGGGGATTCCTCATAGAACAAGGCTTGTTTTAAGGTGTGGCATTTCTTTTACTCTCTGTTCCGAAGTGGTAGTTGGCTCTAATTTACGTCTGTTTTCCTAAACAATGGCCCTGATGCTTCCAACTAGTGTCCCGCCTCAGGACAAGCTGTGAAGCATCACCAAAGAAGGGCTAGTCTGTTGTAAAAAAGATTTTGTACTCTGGAAAAAGTACTTCTCAGGGTTAAATGTTCATATAGTGCAGGCACAGACCAGAGTACGCATTTACTGTTTGGGCTGCAAGAATTATATGCTGAATAGCTTTTCTGGGGGGGGGGGGGGGGGGTTTTTAAATAAATATTCTTTTGGGGGGGGGGGGGTGTGTTATTACATAGCTTTGGTCGTGTCAACAGAACATAAGTCATATAGAAGCCCCCAAAATAGGAGAGCTTTGAACGGTGCACTTGAACACCTAAACTGAATCACAACAAACCAAACCAGATCTGTGGCGCTCTTTCCTCCTGACTGCTTCAGCTGGCAAAACACTTGGGGTGGCAAGCCGTGCTCCCTCTAAGCTGTGGAGTCTTGTGGAGCTGCTGGCATTAAACTTGTGAGCAAGCGATTTGGCTACTGCATAAATTAGCCTGCTCTGGAGCCATCCTTCCTGAGCTAAGGCAAAAATATGTGAGCCGGAGGCTAAAAAACTGGGAGCTAGCTCACACTAACTCGGCTTAGAGGGAACACAGGTGGCAAGGAACTTGTCTCTGTACCAAGGTGAACACGCTGTCTACTGAACACTCTTCTTCCTTTCCAGTGGACGTCAAGTCTGCTTTTCACAGCTTTGGCTGCCTGCGACAGGCTCCAGGCATTGATTACTATGGCTTTGAAAGACAGGCTGTGCTGTTGTAGACTTTCCCGCTGCATTCATGCCTGGTTCTTTCTTTGTTAAGCAAACGGTTTCCTGAACATGCAATCCACGTGGCACAGAATAGCCCTTCAGTACCTCTACTGTACAGATCTCCAAGCACTACATAAGGGAATGCTTGCGTGCCAGATTGCTAAAGCTGGTTCAAGCGCCGAGTGTTTTTTTTTTTTAAGGCAAAAGCAGTTTAAGCCCTGCCTTATTAGTAAGCGGGTGGCAGAGCCAGCCAGAGCTCCAGTCTGTGCATGTCTCTCTACACGTGAGAGCTTAAAACAGATTTTATCCATGGTGGGCTCTAGTAATGGATGCCATTTGTTCAGCTACACCCTAGTTTGACAGACCACCACGGTTTCTTTCTCTCTGCTAACACTGTGACTTGATGCTGGAGGAGAGTGAAGCCCTGGCTTGCTTTTTCAGATAACTTTGGTTCTTGAGTTCCAAGTTGCTGTACATTGGGGTGGGGGGGGGTGGGGCAGAGCAGTTACACAGAATGCTGATAAATGCATGGGGGATAATAAGCGGATTAGGATCCCAGTGCAGGAAAATATAACTCCAGTGGCTAAAGCTGCCTCTTTTAAATCCTGTGCCCTTGGTTTCGCACACAAGCATCATATTGATGGTCCTTGTCACATTATTCTGTTTTCCAAAATCAGGCGCTTTGCAGTGGTTGGTGGGTTTGAATTATGCACGTGTGACATGGGATGCTGGAGTAAGTCCGAACATATTCTGGAAGAGTGCAGTTTCTTGATCATTCCTCGTGCAAGTGCAGCATTTTTACAAATAATACTGTCTGAAACCTCTTGTGTGCCATTTGTTGACCTGGGGGGGAGTATGCAATTAAAGTGAGTTTTTACCTCTTCTCTATAAGTCTTAATCTTGCTTACTTATGTGGGATTGCCTTGGACTTGCATCCCCAGGTGTGAAATGCAGGGGGGGGGATTGGTGTTTGGAATATTCTTGAGGCAGAGGCAGTTTGGAATATTCTTTAGGCTCCCCAATGTGGTGCAGGGCACCTGCCAACATCTTTCCTGGTGTCCGCTAAGTATTTTTAGAAAGTAAATGGGGCCAGATGAGGCTTCTGCCCAGCAAGACTTCTGATCAGCCACTGGAGATTTTGGTTGGCTTTGCAGATTTTTAAAAATGTTGCTTTGGCGGCAGCGGCCACCACAGCACAAGAATCTTCAGGGTGTGACTGAAGGTAAGCTGTGGCATCAGCCAGTCTGTGGCTGGCTCCACTTTCTGCGGTAGACATTTGGGGCTGCACCCACCGTGCCATCTCAGAATTCCAAGGGTGCTGCACAGATGCTAAAAGAGTTGGGGACGCCTGACTCATTTTTATAACGCTCAGAAACACAGCAGCCGGACAAACTGAATGCAATGTCAAAAAAGCAACCTTTCTAAAAATAGGTGCCAGTGCAGGGGGTTGACACCTTTAAAACCAGATACAGTTCATCATCCAAACTCTCATTCAGTTTCCATCTCTAACATGAACATAAGCATTGGAAATAGCCCCGGGATGTATCTCTTACCCTGTTGTCCTTTTGTTTTTTTGGCAGAATACAGAGAAAGTGGCTCTAGACCTCTTTTCCCTAAATTATAGCTTTTTACCACATACCACATATTTTTATTTAAAAAAACCAGTTACAACAAGAAACTTCCGACACGGATCATACAAAGTAAACCGCCTGAAATGATGATGTAACCCTGAAAGTTGACAACAAGGGGAGGGGGGAGAGATTTGAGACATTCCTGCCTTGAGCCGGCTTCCATCTGAACTGACAGAAGAGCCTGATCCAAGGATAATGGCAGCATGCATGTCACCCCCCCCCCAAAAAAAAGCTTAAAGCCTCATTCACATTAGTGTTTGAGGAAATTAAGAGCCAAGGCTGACAGTGGACACTGGCAGGACTAATGCTGATGATAGAATCAAGTATATGCAGTTTGGTTTCAGCCACAGTGCAAAGAGGCTTTATAGTTTTACAAGCAATCCTTGATGTCCTGACCCAGTTCACAAGTGCTGGAAGCAACATGCCTACCCATTCTTCCAAAGCATTAACTTCTACCTCAATTTGCAATCTCCCACCTGAGATGAAGACAGAGCACCACCCAAGGGTCTCAAGTTTATAAAAAAATTAGCAAAATAAAGCAAAGGCAACTAGAATACTGCAGCTAACTGCTGTTACTAAAAGTTGTAGAATGCCTAATCGAAGGGGGTGGAAATTCTTGACACCACAATTTCAATGAAAGAGGGGGAAAAATGCTTTTGGATATTTTAAAAAGAACCCTAGAACAGGATTTTTCCCTCCGGAAGACAGAACATGTTCCTTTAATCCTAGGAGAGAAACAGAAAAAAGTCAGTTATACACAACAACCCCCACCATTATTTACATTAATTTGCAGCCAAAGATGCCCATGTTGCTTCCTGGATATTTCCCGCACAAGAGTTGAGCCAAAGGGCTTGCTATCAAGGCAGGAGAAGTCTCACACTCAGAGCAGACTCTCCGTTTGCAGGATCCATTTTCTTTTACATACACACTAAAACCAACTTGGCACAGTACCACCACCTCTCTGCACCTAGCACTTCTTGCTCAGTCGCACAGTCGAGTCCGACTCTTCGCGACCCCCATGGGCCACTTCACGCCAGGCCTGTGTAAATGAAATTATTGCATATTCGTCCCCCGTTCATCCCCGTCTCCTCTGCTGAATTTTAGACTGTAATGTCCTCAGGGCACAGACCTGTCCTCTGGTACTCTGCAAAGTGCCATACACACCAATGGTGCTCAGTTATGGCTACCAGAGGGATCATCTCAGGTCACGTGCTCATACTAGACAATCCCTGGCCAATAAAAGACTGCCATATCTTGGGCACACACACACACACACACACACACACAGACTCATCCATTGCATCTGAGGGGAGGGGCCATGGCTCAGTGACAGAGCATCCTGCTTGGCATGCAGAGGGTCCCAGGTGCAATCCCTGGCATCTCGTTAAAGCATCTGGCAGGAGGTGATGTAAAAGCCTTGGAGAGCTGCTGCCAGCCTGAATGGACAGTCCTGCGTGTGATGGACCAGGGGTCTGCTTCACCCCAAGGCAGCTTCATATGTATGCCAGTTTGGTGTAGTGGTTAAGTGCGCGGACTCTAATCTGGGAGAACCGGGTTTGATCCCCCACTCCTCCACTTGCACCTGCTGATGTGACCTTGGGTCAGTCACAGGCTCTGGCACAGCTGTCCTTGAAAAAGAGCAGTTTGTGTCAGAGTTCTCTCAGCCCCACCCACCTCACAGGGTGTCTGTTGTGGGGAGGGGAAGGGAAAGGAGTTTGTAAGCCGCTCTGAGACTCCAAGTGAAGGGCGGGGTATAAATCCAATCTCTTCTCCTCCTCCTTCTTCTTCTTCAGGGTAGATGAGCACTTTTTACATAATCAAATTGGTGCTAGAACTGAAGATGCCTTCTCTGACCGAGATGCACTGAATCTTGTCAGAAGCTGCATTTGTGGGTTGCCAACTGGCACCACAGAGTATGAAACGGGACTAATGAAGCCCTTGCCACTCCCCCCCCCCCTTTTGCATTAAATGACAGCATGGATGGCCTTAGACTCACACAGTTAAATAAGTGGATAACGCTATCCAAACTCCAGGGGCTACGATGCACCACGGAGAGAACGAGAATTAAGAAGAAGAGAAGAAGTGACATTTGTATTTTTTTCTTTAACTACCTCAGGTGCCAAATTGTTCACATAATCCCTGAGGTTGTAGTTGATGTAGTTCACTGTTGCGACAAACACCCGATGAAGAAGAGATGGAACTGTAGTTGCTACATTTCGGGCCAGCACCATGGCTATCACTAACATGGCTCGGTCTTGACCCATTTCCACTGGCATCCTTCTCACCAGTTCCTGCACCGCCCGAGTCATATGCCTGGTTATTTCCTGAAAAAAGGGGACAGAAAGCGTATTTCTCTGAAAGATTGGCTTTTCAGCATTCCTTAGTTGCACATTTTTCTTCCGTGGAGCAACGAGCTGATCTTCAACACTCATTGCCAGAGTCCCACAGTAACAAGGGGGAGAAATCCCATCTGTTCATTGCTGGTTTCCAATTTTTCCACCACCACCCTCCCCATTACCACTTTCACTTCATTCTCGCAGTCTACTGTTTTCATGTAGGAGCGTAGCGTGCCCTCAGATCAGTTCTCCGGTTAAATGAGATTCTAAACATACAGGCCTAGTCAATTGCCGGAGACTGGAAGCCTCAGTTTCCAACAAGGGACATGGAGAAAGCTGAATTCCATGCTGGACCTCTCTGTATAAGAGAGAATCCCTGGATTTCTGATTTGGAGACAATGGCCTTTTGCTGTAGATCCCTCTGTAGTCAAGTATGCTTGACTATCAGTTAGGGGCAAGTTTATAAAGTAAAAAAAAAAATTCTGACTACAGCCTTGTGCTTGTTACTAAACCTTGGTTAAGTAAGCCTCATGTTTTGATTTGGAGGGGGATTCCATACTATTATCTTGCCTTATATCAATACCTTTTGTCCTTTGGGCTAGTTAACCAAGGAAGGGTACGTAAAGCCTCTGGAGTGAACCTGGGTGATTATAGAACAGAGATGGGTAAACTGGTATCTTAGCATTCTGGTAAGATCTCTACTCAAAAGCACCTGTTCCCTAGAGTAAGAGTTTCTCCTGTCCTCTCTGCAGTTTTCTGGTATGATCTCAGACACCCATCTAACCCTATTTACTAAGTGCTCCCTGGGATACCGGGAAGGGATCTTTAAAAGACTTCTTGGGTGTCACATGATGATCATCCGAATACAGGACCTTCCTTATCCTAGGAGTTTAAACCCTCAAGTGTCACTGTTTACAAGCTCAATATTCCTCTCCTTCCTCACCTCTCTAGAGAAGTTCTCCGCCATAAACTGCTGCACAAGACTGTTCATGAATGACGGCTCAATCTCCAGCGCCAGCCGGTCCCCGATTTCAGCCAACTGAGCTCCAATAATTCGGAAAACTTCCTCATCGTCTCCTAAAGCTGAATGGGAAAGAGGAGAGTCAAACAAATGAAATCATTTCCCTCACACCAGGATAACACTTAGCTTTTAAACATACGGCGGAGAAAGACACCAGTCCTCGTATTGTCTGGAAAAACATGAAGGAGCACCTCTCCCTCTACCCATAAGAAAATACCTGCCATAGGCTGCAGTCACACATGCTAAATAATCCACTTTCAGTCCACTTTCCAACTGGATTTTTACTGTGTGAACTGGCAAAATCCAGTTGGAAAGTGGATTGAACGTGGATTGAAAGTGGATTATTTAGTGTGTGTGACCCCAGCCATAGAATCACAGAGCTGGAAGGGACCTCCAGGGTCATCTAGTCCAACCCCCTGCACAATGCAGGAAATTCACAA